AGATTACAAACATGCAGGTTTTGCTCTAGAGGACAGAGATACGATATCAATAAGGATAATGAGAACACATTAAAAATAACAGGTGATGGAGAGGGGATCTCCCTGCTGCACTGTGGTGCTTAAGGTGGGGTGTGAGGTCCCCCATGGGTTTAGGTAGGTGTGGTAAATAAGTTTAGTTTATTTTGGAGAAGAAAAATGAATACATTTTAATAAAAACAAAATACAACCATTTAACAGTCCTTAATACCTTCCAATTGACAACACATTTTCTTTTCTTCAACTTGGCTTTAGATATAGTGAAGAACTGATTGTGTGTAGGTGAAGGTCCAGTGTCCAGTAAACAGAATAGAATATAATGACAACACCAAACAGACATAGAGTTCTTAAGGTCTGGGTTCATTGTTTTTAAAAGTATTATTACTCTCTGGTTTACTTCAGGATAATGGCAGGGTCACATTGCAGGAACATAACAAGGCAAGTGATATAGCAAGCTTTTTCTGGACTTTGTGTCTAACTGATGCACAACAACTTTTGCGGTTTTCGGTGCAAGTGACAATATCAAGGGGTTTACATACCAATATTCCAGCTCTAAACCATATATATATATATCTCCCCACATTAAATACAGTGAAAGGGACAAACAAAAAGCCTTTTAACACAAGGACTGAGTTTCCTTCAAACCCATCAATTACACTGTCAAAAATGACATAATTAAGCCAAACTCAGAAACAGACAAACAAACAAATTAGCTTGAACAGGAATTTAGCAACATGAACACGAGGCAATCATTTCAAAAACTAAAGACCCTCGCTAGGTCCACAATAACTGACCCTGTCACTTTTTCTAAATACTCTGCTGAATGTGAGAATCCTTCACCCTTCACACAGGAGGATGCAGCTAAGCTGCTGCAATTATTATTATTATATTCCATCTTGGGTTAATTAAAGTATTGTAACTTGCAGGCATGATCAATCAATCATGACTGAACCAAAATAGTCAGTTGGAAGACATTAAAATTGGTTAAAGGTGTAATATTTAACTTAAATACAGTGTTTTTGACATATATACATGCAGCGCACTTGAAAACTGAATCATGTGTGAGTTTATTAAACATGATGACTTTCTGAAACGTACTGCTGATGGAGAAAGTGCGCAGTTCAGATACACGTATAGGGAGAGAGAGACAGAAAGAGGCGGAGCAAGTCACTGTGTTTGCAGGGAGAGACCAGAGGTGCAGGCTAGGCGTGTGTGCATGTGTGTGAGTGTGACCAGCCGCTGCCTCCAAAGTTACACCGTCTTAATGAGAACAGTTCGAGGAGCAGGTGTCTGAGAGACAGAACTGCGACATGAGACTGTGGACATTTGTGGCGCGGTTTCGGTCTCGGTTTCAGAACCGTTACAGCCCTGGTTCCCACCCTCTGGAAAACATACTCTATCGTAATGGTGCCAAAGAAATCCTGCTCCTCAGTTTCGGCGATTTGCTTTTACACCTTAATAATCATGAAATGCCTGGAAAAGCTTGCGCTGAGAAACATCATGCCATCTGTCAGTCTACAGCTGGATCACCACCAGTTCTCCTACAATGCCAAGAGGGGAATTGAGGATGCTGTAGCATGTCTCCTGCACCCCCTGCTACAACACCTAGAATCACCAGGCAACTTTCTCTTCATCGACAGTGATAAAGAAGCTCAAACATCTCAACATTACAATATAATAAATACTAATGCCATAGCTCATCTCCCACCACCACATACTTTAAGTACTCTGACGATGAAGAAGTACTCTGACAACACTGCCACATTTAATGACAATAACTGTGTGATGGCTTATGAACACTAATTCATTCAGTAGTGTAATTATCTATAGCTGAATTATAATATGTAACTGGTTATCAGCAGCCCCAACACACTGCACTTTCCTGAATCCCATGTGGTGAGACAGTAGACCAGGCTGAAAGCTTCAAATAACCTTGGAATCACACTGGACAATCAACTCAGTTTTGACTCACACATAACTGACATCCACAAAGATTCTCTGCCATTCGTTAACTCAAAGCCCTCTCTGTTGCTGCTTTACAAAAGCATAATTCCATCCATATTACTCTACTGCTCCCCCTGTTTTCTTACCATGCAAGTTGTTCAGTACTACATACAGTGCTTACAAATTCATTGGTCTCCCAACCAGCAGCCTCTCAGATCTTGATAACAGAGCTATCACTTGAATGGCACTCACCATAGCACATGACCCCGGACACCCCCTCAACCCATTTCTCACTCTAGTCCCATCTGGGCGTCCAAACAAGGGCGAGAGAGATGCGTTGGCCCACTTCGATTATGCACCAGCCCACATCCTCCTCCTCAAGATCTTCCATACCAGTTCAACTGTCAGTCAAGGTTTTGCAGCTGAAGCGGTAATCTGTGGTGAACAGATCCATTACTTAAGTAAAAGTACTAATACCACGATAATACACAATAATACTCTGTAACAAGTAACCCTACTGAATTGAAAATGTTACTTAAGTAAATGTATGAAAGTATAATCAGGAATTAAAGCGTTAAAAGTAAAGTACTCAATGCTGAAATATGTCCCCTGTGACTGTTATACTATTATATGTTATAACATATAATGCATTCATGCATTCATTTAAAAGCAGTATTTTACTGCTGTCGTTGCTGAGGTGGAGCTCATATTAAGCTGTTTTGTATCAGACTGCAACTAATAATTATTTTCGCTATTAATTCTTCTGCTGATTAGTGCCTCCATTAATTGACTGATTATTTGTAAAAATAAAAATAAAAAATGGTGAAAAATTGGTGAGAAATGCCACAATTACAAAAATGTGGATGTGATATCAAAACTCTGATCATAAAGCCTAATGTTACTCAATTCTGTGGTTTATCAGTATGAAGTATTCATAATTCCAGCGTAGTTAAAATTATTGTTTTCTTTTATGGCCTTTGTGCCCTCAAACATTGACTATACCAAAGGCATGTGGCCTAGCGCATCAAATGATGACATTCCAGACCTGGTAACAATAAACCTTTACTCATAGTAACTTTTACTCCAGTTGGACAATGTCACTATCCCTTCTTATTTCACAGTAAATTATTTACGAAAACATAAAAACCTATGAACTACATAGGCAACTATTTACCATAGCAGTAGTTAACAATTACAGTAACATGCCAACGGCTTCCGGCGTAAGCCTCACTTAAACATTGAATAGACCACAGGTGTTTTTGCTGGTAAAGATATGGTTAATGTAAGAGAGACAACATGGCGTGTACCGGGCCAGAAGGAATGTTAACCTGACACACACACATGCCTGAAATTAGAATAATAAATTCACTTATCACAGGTTTAGAGAAAAAATCAAAGTTACTCTTCATCATTTGTCCGCATTATGCATGCTCCAACATTCATCATATTCCAAAGCCATTGATCATTATTTGTATTTCTGGCCTCGTATACGATACCTTATCCCAACCACTTCACCCACTGTTTGTGAAAACAGTGATGTATGCCCTCTACATCCTTCATGATTGATTGCATCTTTGCTGCTGACTCACTTTAAAACAGACTGTACCTTCTTAATTTATCTGAGTTGTTTTGCCAAGAGTAAAGGTTTCTCCCTCCCTCCTATCCAGGTTTCTGTTTGCCTGAGTGGGAGTAAGAGCAGTAGGAGCAGTGAGGAGTAGATGGCGGTCGCGAGGCAGGAGGATCATTAAACTTGCTGAGTCAAGATGATACAGCTCTGTGTTACTTTGAACATCAGTGTCACACACACACACACACAAATTATTTATTTCACCTTTAAATTTTGATTCCTATATTAAAGCCTACTTTTCTGAAAGTATCAGAATCAGTGCCAAGCGTCTGGTGGGTTCCCGTATGACAAGAGAAGCAATCTGTTTTCATGAGCTCAAGTCCCGGGGCAGAGGATTAAATTGCTTATGTGGATCCTGGGTTGAGAAAGTTTACTGTAAGTACCTCTAAGGGCTATAGCAGTTTGAAATAAAGGTTCTCCAAAGCTTTTATAAACTCTTCCTTTCACTGAGAGAATCAAGGTGAGCTTGTGTTTGCAGTTAATTTCTGTTTGTAGCCAATAGTTTCTATGAACAGATGGCAAAGGGTGTTATGGGAGCAAAGCAGCTGTTTTTAAATGGGAAAGTCTCAGATATTTATTTATTTATCCCCAACAATCCGATTCTTTTCAATGGCTCTTTGGTTCGAACGAAGGGAACCAAGTCGTACTTAGGGAGAGCTGTTCTTTTTATCGTTGCGCCCAAATTTTACCTCCTGCACTATATCAACACCCCTTATTGTGAACAGTGTACCAGTAAAATTACCACTCTAGTAATGTCTACGACTCACAGCACAATAGTGGGTTCCCTTGGTTCCTATCCCGGCATACACTGCAGTGGCATCAGCTGGGTGGAGTTGAAATGGTTTCTAATTTTAAGTGTTGGATGGATTACATTCAAGGCAAGGCAACTTTATTTATGTAACACATTTCAATCAAAGGGTAATTCACTGACTCGTGTTAGGTTTACAATGCAAATCATTGACGTTAGTCTGGCAATACAAGTAATTTAGTGCTGCTAAACCTAGTCCACACATGCGAAATTAAATTATATTGGGGGGATGTCTAAGTTTGAATTTAATCCACCTTATTCTATCATTATCCTAGCGATTATTTCACAGGTAAACCTGGTAACCTCCGCCCCCTAAAGATAAAATGAAAAAGAACAATGAACCGTTATCTCTCAGGAAGGAACAGAGCCATAAGATCTGGCTCCCTTCAAAGACCTGTAATTCCCATCACTATTTTAAGTTATGTAAAAAGAAAAAAATTATTTCAGTCATAAAGTTCTACAAGTTGACACTCCTCAGATAGTTCTGGATCTTGGTCCGTGTGAGATAAAACACACGTTGGTTTTCATATTTAATAAATAATAGCAATCTTTCTAACCTTGGTGTCATTTCTCTTGTGTTTTCAGTACCAGCCAACATCTACAAGGTGTCAGAAGACATCACAGTGAATGAGGGCAGTAATGTGACACTCAGTTGTTTGGCCACTGGCAGGCCGGACCCTGCAATCACCTGGCGACTGCTCAACCCCTCAGGTAAGAATCATCCAATAAGCCAATCAGTACTCATTATCATTTGTGTCAGTCTAGATCTCTAGCCAGTGGCATACCAGACCCTTTCAGCAATTAAATACCAGATTCTTAAGTCACCCAAGATGCTAAATCGCTCTGAGAACAGTACCTCTGGTGCATGCTATATGTAAGGGCTATAGAGGGAAAAGTTATGAATATCGAACTTCCTGTAGTTGTTCCAATTTGCCACAAATGTCACAGTACATATACAGTACAGGATATATGCATATAGAAATAAGACACTCTTCAGAACTTCATCAGATAATCATCAGATTCAGACTTTTTCTTCAGTATTACTGTTGTCTGTGCAGTGAAAACATGATCTGCTAGATCAAATGCTGCTGTAGCTTTTTTTTTTTTGACCGTAGATGGGAAGTTGACAACCTGAAGCTAGGAACCATCTCAAAAGTGCATGTCATATTTGTCAAAAGAGCTTGTCAGTTTTTTGTCAATAGCTTTCTCAATTTTTTCTCAACACTTCTAATGACGCCCATCTGGACCTCCTCCCAGGGCATGCACAACCTCGCCCCTTTTTTTAAATTATGCAATAATGCCCATGAGCAAGTTTTTTGCCAATGGGTTTCTCATTTGTTATCGTAAACACTTCAGACTAACTTTAAATTCTGTGCATTATAACATCATACACACAACCAAGAGAAACCATGGAATAAGGCCCAGTAAAATTCTTGGATTTGAACTTGGACTTGTATTTTCCCATCTTTAAACTTATTTCTCAAAATGCTTTATTTTTATGATTAATTTATATTTTATGTTTTGTCAGCAGTTTAACTTATAACTAAAATAACTTTTAACCTCAACTACATATGAGGAGTATAAATAGCTGTAGAAAACAGAAAAAATCCAAATGCGGATACAAATATGAATAGTTTTGTGAAACGAACACTTACAAGTAGATATAACTTGTAGCTTTGTATTAGTAGGGGTTTATTACCATGGTGAGTGTCTCTTATATAGTAGCCTCTCATGTATGATAGCCATGTTGGTGTTTGGACATGCTATAACTGCTGTAAGTGTGTAAAGGTCATGTGTTGTCCATCTCTCCATATATGTGCATTCAGATGGTGGTAATACTGTTGCTTTGGGATTTTATCCAGTTTCAGAGAAAAGAATAATGTCTCCTGTGGTGATAAGCTTGTAGTTTGATTGATGGAGATGCTGGAGAACATCTCAGTTTGAGAAAAGCATTGTGTTGATTGAAAGCCATTCTGTTTGTGTGTCTTTATCAATTACTGTACTAGTTTGTCAGCACTTCAGACATGTTTCATCAAATACATCTGTTTCCTGCACCTGGAAGCTAAACAACTTGGGTGTATTTGCCCCTTTTGTCAGTTTGCGTTAAAGGGGAGTGATTTGTTCAGCCAAATCCTGTGAGCCGTATGGATCTGATTGGCTGCTTTATAGAACTGTGATGAAAACTGAAAGCTTCCCTTCATTTTCTTCCTGCAAAACTGAAGAGAAGACCTGAAGGTTCAGATGGCTCACAAAGTTACTGTAGGTAAAGCTCCTTTGTGAGTTTAAACAGCTTAGCGGGAAGGAAAAGACAATATCCAATTGTAAGTTTTTGAAGGTGGAATTAAGTGGGCCTTAGTAATGACTCCTCTTCAAGTTCTGCAATTTTTTTCCATAACGTAGCTTTTCTTTTTGATTATCTATGTTTTGTAGAGGAAGTAGTAGGCAGACCACCTTTGACAAGTCTTTGTTCTTTACTGAAACAGTATGAATGGTGAAATGGAAACAGTGTGATAGAAGGAAAATCCTGTCAGCGCCCTGTCAGGATTGGATCCTATAAGTCTACACAGGCACATGTGGCTCCAGAGATGGGGGTCCCACGCCGTTTGCAAACACTGCCACTGTTATTATTTTTGTTGTTGTTTTGCGGGTTTCTTTCACCCCAGAATCCATAAGTCTAACCCAGTTTGAGAGTGTGTGGTGGACTGCTGAGAGAGATAATGATGTCTGGCAGCCTGTGGTCTCACTTCTTCACGCCTTCGTCTGCCTGGGCGGTAACGCCGCTTCGCTCTGCTAGCGAGGCTCTCAACTATTTTCTGTGCCACAGATGTTCGTGAGTCACAAAATGCCAGTCCAAGTCATGACTCAAGTCTTTTATTCAGCCCCCGAGTCAATGTCTTCAGTTTATACAGTAGATATACAGTACATAATGGTTTAAACTTACTAACAATAGGGATATTTCACAAATTTCACTGAAGATGATTGTATTTTTATTGTTATACGGGTATAAAGGCACCACTATTGAGATTACTTTAAAGCACAAATCAAGAGGTTGCAGTAATCTCAATTGATGAACAAACTGAAGTTTAGTTGGCCAATAAATAGTAGCAACATTGTATTCTTTGACTAATAAAGAAGATAACCTGCCTTGTAAACTGGCTCAAATTTGAAATGAGCCACCCTTTGCCACCTTAATGGAAAAAGTTTATTATTTATTTTAACAAGCATCCACTCGTTCAGAACATCCACGCTTTCAGAACCGCAGTGTTATAAGGTCAAGACTTGCACTTATGGCTAGATTAGGTATGGCCAGTCTTTTACAGAGTCATATACTTGAGTGCCAAAATCTGGCTAAAGCTCATCATTGCATAACCACATGCATATTCATATTCAGATTGATGCCTTTGTGCACACGATGCTGTGCACGTATGTGTGAAAATTCAATGGCACTCCCACCCTCCAGTGACTACATTTTTCTCTCTGACTTTATCCCTGACGACCACATGCATAATTTAAACCTGTCTTTAATGTAAACCTAATTCTAACCCAAAACAAATGATTAAACCGTGGGAACCTGCCAACATCACTTCATTTAGCAAGTGTCTACCTTCAGGTTGTCAGAAACTCAAGCTTGTTCCCTTAAATAGCCGTGCAAGAGCATCAAAACACAGTACCAACACACTCAGAAAATCTTTCAAATAAGGGCACTCTGTAGTATCTCCTTCAAGCCACATGAGACAACGGTCCTCCAGATTAATGAAAGCCAGGCCAAGACTGGCCTTTGGTACAATACCCAATGGCCTGACCAGCTGATTGGCCTGGAGAGCCAGGCCGGTGTTAAAAAAGCAGAAATGAAGTGGTTCAGTCAAAGTGAAAACAACACTGGGCAGCTACAGTCCCTCAGAACTGTAGACCATCAGCAACCCACCCGCCAATTTTAAACATGAAGGACTGTCATCACACGTGATTGGTCGTGGAGTGCATATAAGCGAGCAGTGTGGAGAAATGGGCAGTGCAGAACAAGAACAAGAGAAAGAAAAAAGGTGGAGCAAACAGTTCCTACTGTATATAGTTTGCAAAAATGTATGAAAAACTCAAACTACCCTCCATCCTATTGGTTGTTGTTGTAATCTGGGCCATAACGCCCCCCATTGTTGTGGTTGGCCGGCTAAATTTTCCTTTGTCTTACAAAGCACTAAAAATAAGCACTTTTTTTTCTAATGTGCTCATCTCCCATCTGCCTTTGTGACTCTTGACTTCAAAGTGGAGCAAGCAAAAGTTTTGAAAGAAAACAGAGTGAATGTGGTATAATTTTAATGGGATAATTTGATGATATTCAGTTGCTCAAATTTAGATCTGCAATGATGAAATAGCTGATAATCAATTTATCAATCAACAGATAAATAATAAGGAGTTCTTTTGATAATCTATTAATTGTTAATGTTAAAGTGTGAATATTTTCTTTGACGATAATACTGTGAATATTTTGGGGTCGTGAACTGTTGGTCATACAAAACAGGTAATTTAAAGGTCACATTTGGGAAATTGTGAGATTTCTGACGTTTTATAGACCAAACAATTTCTCATTTTATCAGAAAATAATCAGCAGACTAATAGATAATGAAAATGATCATTAGTTGCAGCACTAGTCAAATCTAAACACACCTGCAAGTTGATGACAATTGTGTAATTGTGTTAGAAGGCCCACAGAAAATATGCAGTTTTGCAATGCATAAACAGAAGTCTAACTACAGAGGCCACCAAGCAGAGATGGGGTCTCCAGTTTCAGACTTGGACTCGAGTCGCACCTAAAGGATAATTTGGGTGTTTTTTAATCTGGGCTCATATTCACATATTTTCGGGCCGAAATGACTAGTATTTCACTTGACTAGTGTGCTTCTTTTTGCCATCAACAGGCTCAGACAGAAGTCTCACTCTAGGACACTGCTCGCTCTGAAATCTTGTTAGAGGAGAGTTGCTGCAGGACGATGCCGGTGGAGTTAAGAGTCAGAGTTGGAGAGAGGAGTTTGTGTACATAGATGAACTGTTGCTACTCTGACTCACTTTTCAGTCACACAGAGACTCATCCTCTAAAGAATTGAGACTCGAGTCGGACTTGAGATTTGGGACTCTTAAACACCTTCTTCAACAACTCTATTTCATAAACATTAAGGTATCAAAATAAAAGATGCTGGATTGACCACATCAAACTTTCTGCTCGCTAACATTAGACTGAGAGAAAACCACATAAATTATTAACACCTGCTACAGGCGACAGGTTTATTGTTTACCACGTAATGTTACATATTAGCTATGCAGTGTTCTGAGCAGACTGGATGGCGTGCATGCAGCAGATGATAGGATGCTCATTATAAGCCATAAGAGACTTGAGACCTGCCTCGGACTTCTCTCTGCTACCAAATATTTGAAACCCAACAGTTAGCATCATGATTGAATTCTATTTTCTAACGCATGGAACTTAAAAAATTTATGCCAAAGGAGAGGTTAAAGGAGCAGGCAAAGCAAGTTTGGCTTAAATAAAACTGACAACACTGTAAAACTCTAAACTAGAACAAACCAAACTGACTATAAAAACCCAGAAGATCCTTAAACTGCAGACTGTAACAAGTCAGCTGTGTCTGTTGTAAAGTAAAACTTCTTTTCTCAGGGGCTCAGGTGTAAAACCTGAGGCAGTCCCATACAATTCATATAAC